ATGAGTAGAAACTGGCAATCAGGGGATGGTGAGCTTCACATGTGTTTATGTTTTAAAATGTTCCCGAAATAGCTCTGCTGGCAGGGTTGAAACACAACCCTTCCCTGGGACAAATGGCGCTCAGTCTCCATTTTACGGTCTATTTACATTTTTAAGAAATTTGTATTTCACACATGGATCGTCATTTGTAATTAACAGAGCCAACAGTCTGCAAAGTAATCATGAAGTAAAATTGTAATTAATAATGACGATAAATTTAAGTTTAACCATGCTGGCGCATAAGTGTTCCAGAAAATACACAACTGGTGCACCTTTAATGAGCGTGAGTTCAATGGTATCTGTTTGTATGGTGCCGGTATTCAGTATCCACACAACCATTAAGACATTTTCATAAAGTGGAAGAAATATGTGAGCTATTTCAAGATATAATGAAGAGAAACAGACTTTCATGTAAGAAGCCAATTTAGGAAGAAAACAACATAAACAATAGTAACTTGTGTGTTCAAGTGAGGCATCTTTTAAATTTTGAGTAATGAAGATGTCAAGCCAAATGCTAGAGTAGTTTAACTTAATTAGGTGGCCTATTTTTCCAGGCATCCTTTCATTTCCCATTGAAAACTCAGCTTGTATGCGAGGCAACAGGAGCAATTTTGTCTGTAATGAATACCTCGGGGACCGCAAGGTAATCACGTGGATGTGGAATTGAGGACTGGTTTGAGTAACTAGTCTGTGTTTGCTAAGATGCCAGACTCTGTTGGGCTAACTAGATTACTCGATGCATGCAGCTTCATCATTTTATTGGGCCAGTGGTCAAAAAGTCAAGTTTACTTCAGAAAAATTTCCAAAAGGAACCAATCTAAAAGCAATCGGTTTAATCTTTAGTTCAAATTTATGACACAATCATGGACGTTTTATGGCCCATGTTAAAAATTTTTTTTCTTTAAAAATACTCTTAAAAACACTACTACCCTTTCTATGCTCTTTTTGCCATACCTCATTTATACTCTGATCTACAGTGTTTTCTCATCGGGAAAGCATAAATTACAAAATATTCATTGGCGTGTCTGCAAAGTTTAGAACATCATTCTGAGAATAGGTGTGAGAAAACATTGGTGCAAAGATGAACTTGGAGAGTCAAGTGGCCACAGGGCTATGGGATTGTTAATTACAAACAGCAACAAGTTGCTGTGACAAAGATTCCTGTTATTGCAGAAGAAGAAAGAACGGGAAGCCATGAGATATACCCAAGAATAAGCTATCTCAGGGGCCACAGAGAGCACTGATGAAGAAAACCAGATGATACTCATCCCTGTGATGTCCTTAATTCAGAAGGTCACTGGCATCTTAAGACACATCTGAGAAGCAATGGAAGGCGCTGCACTGCTGCTGGGAGCCAGAGAGAAGAGCTTAACATGGTGAGCGGTAAGCAGGGCTCCACAGAGGGTGGAGCGGAGAAGCCTGATGGAAGGTTCTGATGGAAATCCTGTTCAGGCAGGAAGCTCAGCTCCCCAACGCCATGCTATGCTTTCTGGCATAGTAGTCTAGATAAATTCTAAATAGATATTGTTATATCTATTTAAGATATGCAGCAAGATATGGGGCTCATATACATAAAAATGGTTGCAAGGATAAGTGTGGCCACCATCACAGAGGAGCCCTTATCTATGTGTGTGGCAAGAATAGCATCCACCCACTCGGGAGATCTCAAGGATGTTAACGATGGTCTTCAAGCTCCATCTCCTGACTTGTTCTCTCTACATGCCCACTCTGGTATCTTAGTCTAACTCCGTTGTCTCACTCAGGGGTGGCAAGAAGGCTGAGGCCTCTGAGGGACTTCTGTCCCCTTCTCATCTGGCTCTCCTATAGTCTCTTCGCACCTTCTCTCAAACTGGACAACCCTGATCCTGCAAGGTCATGCACTATCTAGCAACGTGGTCCCTTCAGACAGGGTTCAGAAACTTACGAAAAGAGATAGGGCACTGCCTGGAGTCAGATGATTATATTCCAGGTTAAAACAAGGTGAATAGCCTGAGTGCCCAGAACTGCTACACCTACTAGAGCAGACAACAGTCAGTTTTGCAAGCATGGTGTCCGGCTGCAATGGCGGTGTTCTGGGCTTTTATTACATACTCGTCAGTCTTATTATCCTGGTGCATTCCATTTAAAACCTGCCTATCAATTACCAAACCATATGCAAAACATTTTAAGGGTCTGTATACACTAGTTTAAGAGGTAGGGAGTGCACTTGGCAGATAGGGCAAGGAGCCCTTTGAGACTGTCTAAAAGAATATCATTAATTTTTACAGGGTTCTTTCATTTCTGGAGCAGTTCCAGCCTAGGCTTTCTATAAAAATCTTCTCAAGTTAAGGATTATGCTGTATGCTTGCACAAGCATTGCAGCAAAAACCCTGTTCCATATGCTGCTACTTAGCAACCTAGTCCGCACGTTCCACAGCAGGCACCGAGCTGAAAACTGAACAGGAATTAAAATGTTGGGCGCTGCCTTGAGAGTTGTCCGGGATTACTAAGCTGTGCAGCTGTTTGATGTGAGGCAGGAAACGGAACAGAACTCTTTGCTTTCCTCCAGGATGACTGAGATCTTATTTATGTTGCCTCAAGGATACCTTGATTGAAATTCCCCCAAAAGAACGGGTAATGAATTCTTTTTTTTTTTTGAAGTTTCATTAAATTTATTCTCTAAAAAAGAAAATTACAGAAATGATTAAAATAACTAGAGGGACATTATTTTCATACACTAATATATTCTCATAATTTTCAATGTTTTGTTTTGATCTGATTATTTTAGAAATGTTTTCATTTTATCTGTAAAACCTTCCATTTCCTTGTACCATGATATAAATCTCTGAAAATTTCAATTATATGCCTAATTTTTTGAATTTTTATTTTCTAAATGTTTATTTTATACAGAACCCAGTTCTTGATTTACGGGTAATGAATTCTTGAACACAGTATATTGCAGGAAACAAAAAGAATATTAAGTGCAAAATTTAGCAAAGGCCTTTTGACTCGGGTAATTTGTGAAGTTCATTTGTATTATCTTTCATTAGTCTAGCTTTCAAAACAACTCATTCTCAAATGTAAAACAAAGCAAAGCATGTGCATAATTCTGCATTGTTTACACAGAAATACCTTGCTGCTGGCTCACTAAGCCGCCATATCTTTAGGAAGCACAAAATTATTTGCATCTCTTTATTCCTTTATTATAAACAACCACCTCATTGGAAATAGTCTTAAGAACTCCTGACCAAAATATTATGAAAAACAGTGCTGGTGGTTTGATTTTAGTAAGGAATTAATATTCTGCACTGTAGTCAAATTTAGAACTCTAAGGAGCTGAATTGAAAAGATGCAGATATTCTGAAGTTGCCATTCTTTATCCAAAACTCCTTAAGACGGACATAATGATTCTCTGCGAGCGAGCAGCTGCCTTATAACAGTAATCATTTATTGAGTTTGTGTTTCTACTGTTTCAAACAAATTCAATTAGCCTTCACACTTCAAAACCCTAAAGGCCCAAAGAGATGGTACTGGCTTGCTTTAATCTAATAGTAATACTAAACTTGTCAGTACAGTTTTGGGATTGATGGTTAGAAGCAAATTAATAGTAACATTTTTCATTTTTTAATCAAACAGTCCTATTCAGAACTACCTATGGGTCCTGGAGGGTACTTAGCGGCAGGAATTCAGGGAAGGAAGGATTCTGCATGTGAAGCTTGCCTTTCAGAGAGGTGCATGCACCGATGTCCTAGGTAGCATGGGAGTCGGCAGAGTCTGGGTCTCTGAACACCACGATGCCCTCTATGGTTGGACCATATAGTGGAGCGTCCAGAATGTCTGTCGGACGTGCAGTGGTCATAATGACTCCTAACTAAAGGCTGAGTTCATGGAGGTGTGCACGCCTGTTGTTAGGGAAGCAGGAGACACTCACTCACAGGCAGCCCTCCTACTCTGTGCACTAGACTGCGTTTCCTGACAACCACCATGAGAGAAAACGCTTCTGTATGGAGGCCCTTTGCACCCCCTCTCTTCTCCGTGGTCAAACAAACTCAAGCCAATAAATAGGCACTGAAAACTACTACCTGGGAGCTCATGCTTTCAGTGACTGGTATATGAAATCCCCGGCAAACGTGATTTTTACTATTGAAGAAAAAAAAATAGATTCATGTCCACGCGATGCTCCCGTGAACTCTCCCCACTCTCATTTATTCACCTGTTTATTTTTGCTTATAGTGTTCTGATATTCTGCGCTATCCTGGCACCCTAGGGCAGTTATAATTTTGCTTTAACTGCCCTCTCCGGATTAGAGGGCCCGGTTTTAAGTATCTAAAAATAAATAGCCAAGCATTTACTTTTATAAATGTAACCATTTACATTCACGTTCCACTTTCGCTGTCACTTCTCATGATTAAATACCTTGTCAACCTTTCCCAGGGAAATGGACACAAAGGTGCCCTTGAAAGATTTCAATCACGCTTGTGCTCGGGGACCTAAAAGTCACTCTCGCCCCAGCCCGCCCGAAAGTCTTAAAAGCAGCCATCTAGGACTCAGCAGCCATAATACCTCAGTGATGAACAATATGCACGCTTGAAGAAGGTCCCACACAGTTGAGAATTGAAGCTATTGGTGGCGTGTGTAGCTTCCAATGATAAACTCATCCACCGGCAGCAACACAAATAACTTGCACCTGTAGCGACTTTATTTCCTAAAGGTAACACAACTGTTTGGGAAAGCTCACGCTGGCAAAACAGCTGCTCGCCATTCTGGAGGGGGAAGCAAGGTAGCATCCTTCAACAAATGCCAAAGCTGGTGTTTTATCAGCTCCATCTCATTAACTGGAAACAAGGCTTAAACGCTTTGTTTATAAATTATGATTATTCCTGATTGCGGCAGTTACTGATAGTGCTACTCATTTGCAATGCAACTCTTTGAATTTGTTTAATTACAATTTGAAACAAGGCAGAGAAGATTAATTAACCCACCTGGCTGGCTGGCACATAGTCCTGGCTCGGCTCTGTCATGCTCATATACATGTTCTCACCGTCAAACTGCGAATGAAATAATAGTAAACATTGAGCAATCTTGACTGTGTGTGTGTGTGTGTTTGTGTGTGTGTTTCTTTCTCCGCCCCCCCACCTCCCCACCATCAAACTGGAAAACAGTAGCCACTAAAAAAAAAAAAAAAAACATGGCTGAGAATATGAAAAAAATCTGTCATAGTAAGTGGGCCACATCTTTCCTTTGATGTTTCTGTTGTCATCTTTCCTGACCCTGTGTGTCAGTGATTTGGAGTAATTAGTGCTCTAGTAATTACAGCAAGCAAGCAAGAAATGAATGGTTCCCTTTCATCTGCAATCTGTTTTAAAACAAAATGGCTCATTTTGCACGCCGTGTATACATACTGCAGTTGGGCTGTAATGAAGTATTAAATGAACGGCATGCTTTCCGAAAGAAAAAAAAATAATGGAAAATACAAGGAGGCACAGCTCCGTGCATTCTGAGTTCAGCTCTCAGGAAAGAAAAACTGCAGAGTTTCATAATGGACTAAAACTGGATTCACTCTAACAGCCTTTTGATTAGAAAAGCATTTTAAATTTATAGTAGCATTCAAAGAAAGCATGTGCCACCATAACCGCAGCGAAGAACCGAGTATAAGAATAACAAAGAAAACCAATAATAACATACAGGTACCATGATCAAATTTCTTTTCCTGAAATTTTTCAAATACATAGAACGAATACAAACAGACCAGTGCATACAAATTGACCCTTATATTTGCAAGTTAGGAAGAAGAGAGGAGGAGGAGGGTATTCACAGGGCAGCCCTGGTACAAAACTTCCACATAAGCCATAGCATGGACAGTGGCACAGGGCCCTTGGTGACGCTGGCTTTGAACCGCTCCATTCAATCTGCGTCTATCTTGAGTCACTTGGCAAATGAGGCAAGTGTTCCTCTTCAGTTAAAGTATGATTTTTCCTAAGGTAATCATCAAATGGGCCAGTATCATCAGCTTCAAAGCTAGGTGTAGACATGTGCTCAGTGACAGGCTTCTCAGACAGAGGAACTTTCAAATGTGAGAATCCACTTGTCAAAACGAAATGATCATTGATAGAAATACAAGTTAATGGTAACATGGAACTTTTTACATACCACCAAACTGATAGAGGAACAGAAAGCCATGAGTCAGAGAAATGCTAATCTATCACCTATGGGTTACTAGCCCTCTAAGAATGCTATACAAGCCCCCACAGATGCATCAGAGCCTCTGCTATACTCAGTAACAAAGAATCAATGGTAAAAAAGCCCCTCCCCCCCCAATGACACTGGAACACTCATCAGGTTCACCTCAAATACTGAAAGGATTTCTTCGTGTACCACCGTATAAACACATCTCGTATTGTGCACACCACCTGTCTCGAGGTCACAGAATCCTTTATCGAATGACATGGTTGTTGGTGCCATCCAGAGTTACCACAAGCAGAGAGAAGAGCTTTGCCACTCAGCTGCTCTGCCAACGGGTTCAGGAGTCTTGAGTCCTAGCAACTTACCAAAGGATGACGCTCCATCGGTCAGGTGAGCTCCCCTAACACCAATCACCCAACACATCCAACAACTCAAATCCTGACAAAGAGCTCAGTGGGAGAATTCTCCAGCGTGGCCTGCTCTGAGTCCTCTGGTTTGTTTGCAAATGTTTTCAAAGTTAAGATGCCAAAGAACCACTTAAAACGTGGACAGTTTTTTGACTCTGACAAACTAAACGGAACAGAAGTAGCGAAGTGAATCAGACGCTCGGCGGCCCATGCGTATTTGAGAATGTGTTACTTTCTATCTCATCTTCTCAAACTCATTTTCTAAATCTGGCAGCAGCCTCCAGCCAGCTAAAGCTTTGAAGTTTTGGTTTTAGTCTATCCAAAGTGTGGGCTAATTGAATGTGTTCATGTTACTGTTCTGGATGGTGTTCCCTCCAAATGTACCAACGTGAAGCGCTTTGGAGCCAAGGCTGAAATAGCATTTCACAATAAAATGTATGCAGTTATCAACATTGTCAGTTTTTTGGTATATACCATGTCCCTTCTACCTGCACACATGTCCGCTGCTATGCATTAACTAATTTAATCTTCTGACTACCAAGAGTTAGGTATTATTATTATTAGTACTTGAATATTGTAAAGGAGCATAGAAAAGGACAGAGCAGTTAGACCAGATGCTGAGCTATGGAGCTCCTGCGAGGCATGTCTGGGATTAAGTCAAGGCTGACTGGCACGTGCCCTCACCCACCGGAGCACGTCAACATATTCTGAGTCAGAACGGTGAGCTAGCTACCAGTTCTGAAGACGGCACTACTTCAGACTGGTGGCACTTCAGGCTGTGTAGCCCAAATCTGGAAGTTGGAAGGCCAAATTGCTTTTAAATACAGGATGTTTAAAGTGCCACCATGATGTTTCAAGTACAAACTCCATGCATTTTTCTACAGTCAAAATAATGCAGGCACACTAAAAACAGTATATGAAGTTGCATTTTGATTATGGATATATAGATAAATAAAATGTGTCTTGTGTACATTTAGGTCTCCTCTCTCACATAGACACACAGACATGCAGGCACAGAGACACACACATACACACAGTCTAAAATTTGAAAAAATAGGAAATTTGGAACACCTGTCATCTCAAGATTCCCGATAAGGGCTATTTAACCTGTATCTCTACAATTTTGAGACACTGCCCAGAATTTCCATGGTCTAACAAGGTGCTTTTTTTTTTTTTTTTTTTTTTTTTTTTTTTTTTTTTTTTGTTGTTAATCTTGTTGGGACGTCATTGCATCCTCAAAAGACTATGGAGGTTTTGGTGGTTAATTGTATTAGTTAAACTGACTGTGTCTTGGGGTGCCCAAGGATCTGGTGAAATGTTTTTCTGGCTGTGTCTCTGAGAGTACTTATGAATAATGACATTTGAATAGGCGACCTGAGCAAAGCACACCACTCCCAACACACGTGGGCCATATCCAACCTCCTGAAGGCCTGACTTCTCCAGTCTGGTGCTAAAATGTCACACCAGTGTTTTTCCACCTTCACAGTCAACAGAAACACTGGCTTTCCTAAAGTCTCAACCTGTTGATAGCTCTCTCAGACTCTGGCTTCCTAATTGTAGATTTTGCAGTTGCTCAGCCTCTGTAACGCTATGGGTCAGTTCCTTATAACCCTCCCACTTACGCACACACACACACACACACACACACACACACAAATCATCTATCTATCTATCTATCTATCTATCTATCTATCTATCTATCTATCTATCTATCTATCTATCATCTATCTATCCGTCATCAATCTCTATGTCTGTCTGTCTGTCTATCTAGATAATATCTTTTAATGGTTTTATTTCTCCAGAGAACAGTTAACACAGGTTGCTCTTTTATTACTACCATACTATCCAGAACTCTTTCAGATCATATGTTTCGTGGGCACACTGTAACAGCACATCTATTGTCCCAGTACTCGGGAGCAACAAGATCTCTTGTTTGAGGTTTAAGACCAGCCTGGCCTATACAGAAAGACCTTGTTTTATGGGAGGAGCGGGGAAGAAGAGGTAGAGTGGGGAAGCTAAGGAGTGAAGAGCACATGCAGAGTTTCTGGAGAGCGGAACACACAGAAACACTCAGTTCTTAGGGGCACTTTACTTGCTCTCTAGAGACCAGGCCTAGTTTGCTAGGAGAGTTTTTCTCAGACAGACCCTGGGATTCTTCCCTACCATGCTACTTACTGCCTGTGCCTTCCTATCACCCATAAAGCTACTCCCCTTCCCTTCTACATTTGGAAGTATTTCCTAGGGTCCACTACTTCCATTAGTCAGGGCCAGCCATGCTCAGCCTATGGGCTCCCCTGAGTAGGTCTGGGTTTCTGGGCCGGTGTCATGGTTAGGGATGAGCTATACTAGATAGTGGGTGACCTGAACACACTTCTGTTACTCTTTGGGCCCCCATAACATAGATTCAGCATTACATCACAGATGTTTATTATCTAATTAACAAAACGCAGATCATACTTGTGTCATTAAACAGATTATCTTCTCAAAGAAAGTGACAGCAACTTTAGGGGAGGAGGAGAGGAAGAAGATTCAGTTTCTAGACAAGGTTTTGATGGAGTCTTGCTTGTTTGTTCTTGAGTGGAATCTAGGGCTTAGACACGACGTGGACACTCTACCACCGAGCTACATCTGTAGCCCTCATGAGTGCTTTGAGGGTGAAGCACTCAAGTTTGCAGTGGATTACAACGGGCTGAAGGACTGGGGAGATGGCTCGGTCAGCTCAGTGCTTTCCGTGCAAGCGTGGGACCCCGAGTTCAGTCTACAGTGCCCACACAAATGCCTGGTGTGGCGGCATGAACTTCGAGTCCCTGCCACCCGTGGAGGTGGAAACAGGCAGATCCCTGTCTAGCCTAACTGGCAAGCCCCAACTCTCAGAGAAAGACTGGGTCTAAACAGTAAAGTGGATGACATCTGAGGAAGGACACATGAAGATAGATGACCTCCGGCCTCCACAGGCACACACATGTGTATACATGTGCACATGCACACACATATGTATTTACATATATGAAAATAGGCATTGTATGTGTGTGTGTGCACATATACACGAACAACTGATTGATTTATAAACAGAACCCTTAAGAGGAAACGAATAAAAAGTACAGAAATGGTAAGCACACCATCATTCAAATGCTGTCTCTAGTTCCTCAATATTCTGATTTGTAACACTGTATTTAATATAAGAAACATAGGTTGGCTGGGAACCAAGAGCCCGACCCTGTATAAGCAGGCTCCCTCCATATGAGTTGTAAAACAAAAATCTGTACATGTCCAAAGAGGCCTCCTCCATCTCCTTGTGGTTGAAGGCTTGCAATTGGACCCTGGCTGAAAGGGGAGAGGGCAAGGGTATCCCGACCAGATCTCCCCCCTCAGGCTGACTTTTCATAGCTCACCGCACCTTGTCCCGGAGCTGCTGCCAGGGGCTCAGCAGGCTTCCCACTACTCCAGCCATCTTAAAA